TCCCCTCCCTTTTTGGCTTTAGTGCCCGTGGCCAGACAGACCTGTCGTGACTGTGTGAAACAGTGGGACAGGCGCTAAAGGGAACGCGCAGCGGGGTTCGCAGGCTCCGCGCCGGCGGCGGCAGCCGGGGCAGCCCCGGGCCCGCAGTGCCCGCACGGGACCAGCCGGGCCGGGTCCCGGACCCCACAGAACGCTCCGCTCCGCTGCAGTCGGGGCACCCTTGTCCCAGATCCCTGCCCTGGTTTTCGGGCTCCCAAGACTGGCGTGTCCCGTTTGCTCTGTGCGCTTTGGAAAGACACTGCAAACTCTCGCTTGGCTCCCTACGGCTTCTGCTACGGAGCCCTTTGATTTTTAGATCTTGGGCTCAGTACTCATTTCTCCCCAGGGTGTCCTGAAATTGAATTTTTAACTTTAAATACTGAGCGATAATCCTGGCCCAGTAATTGGAAAAACTGGCATCAGTTTCCTTCTGCTGCGCAAAGCAAGCCCAATGCTACTTTCAGCCTGTTACTTGCCAGCTTAAGGAGTTTATAACCCTCGTAGGTGCTTGAGGTGGTAATGTGACCTAAATGAGACCAAACATCAAGTTGTTAAATTAGCACAGACAGGAATCCAGCGGCAAGCTTTCTTTGAAAGACTCATTAGCATGTTACCCTGAACTATGAGACGGCTGAGGGATTCATTTCTGAGAATCCTTCAAGGTTTCTCAACAAGCTGCTGCTGCAGATCTATATTTGACTATAGGGATAAATCCTAAAATCTATGCTTGCCAGTAAGGTCAAGGCAGCCAGCGGAGATATATTGAACCACACTGTCAGAGGCAGACATTTCAGGCCAAACTCATTCCTGGTGCAGCACTGCTAATTCCTTTGAAGTAACACGAGGGATGAATTTAGTCCTTCATGTTGAAAGATATATCAATAGGAAGCAATTTAGATTGGGCCACTTAAAGTGCATGTGATACAAAAAAGAGAGAGAGACTGCGGAGTAATGCTTTAAGGGTTCAGAGGTTGATCTGTATAAGCTAGTAGGTTGTAGCATTGCTGTCCCAAGGGAAACTTGGGGGAATGGAAATTGCCTTTTATGGCTGAGCTTCAGGTTAACAGGAGAGAGGAAAGAAGTTTTAGGATTACTGTGTAAATCGACCCGTGTTACAGGCTGCCCCTCCAAGTTACATTTCAGCTATACAATGGCACATCACCTGACTCTCTTCCCCAGTTACCTGGGAACACAGCCTTCATCCGCTTTCTCTTTTGCACACAATGCATGCACCAAATAACGACATTGTGTGCTGAGTTCTGACATTGTAGTTGGGAAGGCAGAAAAATCGGTAATTCAGTTGTAAAATCTTGTTGAATAGTTCTTTAAAAACTTGAGAATGGGAGAGGGTGTCCATGAAATGACTTTTCACTGAGAAGTCATTTGAATTGCTAGGCCCTGAAAGGGCTCATAGCAGGGAGAATGTATTAACTTCTGTAGCTGTTAATGATCCTTATTAAATATTTCTGTAGCTTTGGAGTTGCCTAGTGATAGGCTGCTAATCTTGTCCAGAAGAGAGTTGTTTGCCTGTTGTAAATTGAAAATGAATATTTCATTATTTTCTAATGGGTGGGAGGTGTATCAATGGAAGATTTGGTCATTCAGCTATTGCAGCCGCCTGTCCCTGGGGATCGGTCTCACCTGGTGTCTCTCTTGGCATTTCAGAGTAGCTGCTGGAAGGCCGCCCTGCCGTAGCCGCTGACGCTATGGAAGACCGAATCCGCTGCTCTCGGCTGTAGGATGGTAGCGCACAGCAAGGTGTCAGCAGATAATGCACTTGGAGCAGACCCTAGACGGCTTCTTGACCCTCCGGCACGGGATCGCTCGCAGGCACGAGGCTTCCAGGGCCCCGGCCGGCCTGGCACTGTGCAGGCACAGGGCAACACACACTTCCGAACCTTTCGCTCCCAAGCGGATTTCAGTAGCATCACTCGAGCCAGCAGCCTGCTGGATGCCTGTGGCTTCTATTGGGGGCCTCTGACTGTCAGTGCTGCCCACGAGAAGCTTAAGTCTGAGCCCGAGGGCACCTTCCTCATCAGGGACAGCACACAAAAGAATTGCTTCTTTGCCATCAGTGTCAAGACTGCGACTGGGCCCACCAGTATCCGGATTAACTTTCAGACCGGGCGCTTCAGCCTGGATGGCAGCAAAGAGACTTTTGACTGTCTTTTTAAACTGCTGGAACATTACCTAAGCTCCCCGAGGAAGGTACTGGTTACCCCGCTTCGCAAGGTCCGGGTGCAACCACTGCAGGAGCTCTGCCGGAAAAGCATCGTGAAGACTTTTGGAAGAGAGAACTTAAATCAGATCCCACTCAATCCTGTTTTAAAGGACTATCTGAAATCCTTCCCATTTCAGATATAACTGCAGCATTAACTGTATAGGGACACATTAGACATGTGTAACGAAATCCAGCTTCCTGGGTTTTTAAATATGTTTGACAGTGAGCAAACTTATTTTTGTAGCAATTTACTGTATTTTGAGATAGAACCTGAACACTTGACTTCTTATGTTTACATAAACTGTTTGCACAAACCTGGGGTTTTAAAACCCTGGCATAATTTTTCTGCCAAGCAGAATATTTTACTATTTTATAATATTTTTAATTATATTAACATAATAAACTTTATTGTCACAGTTTTTAAAAAAATAGCATCTCTGTTTTTATTTTTAAAGGCTCTGGCACCTATCCTGCTGGCAGACTAACTGCTTAACTGAGTGTGTAAGCGCAGACAGGTCTCTATGTGGTCCTGCTTCTTTGCCCTACCAAATTAGTCTGTCTTAGTGCTAGTCCAGCAGGCAGAGGATTCCTGCCTCCAAAAGCCTATAACAAAAAAGGGCAAGCAACTAGAAAATATACTCAGGGTGAATCTGCGCAGGAATGCATCTCCCTTCTAAATCCATAAGAGCAGGGACAATGTGTTAGGACTGCAGTGATGCACAGTTTTTGACAGAGTAAATCAAACCCTTGGCTGAGCAAACTGCACCGACATTGGTTTGTCTTATTTCTGTAAAAGATGCAAAGCCCTAAGCTAGAAGAGATTGCTGTCTGACATGACCAAACCCCATGAACCTTGGTGGGGAAATACAAAGCTGTCCAGAAATGCTCTTCACACACTTTAAAAGTCTGTGAATGCTGTATCATTGTGGTGCGTTGAGGAAAGGATAGTTTAGTTCCCTTTGAAAATTTGCATACACAAATAAACAGCAAAGGTGCAGACATCCTTAGATTTAAAAAAGATGTTTCTCATCTTAAATTCCTCCTGATCTACAGAGCAGAGATTTGACATGTTAAAAGAGCCTATGACTTAGCTCCATGACAGGATCCAGAGAGCATAAGCCTCTACATTTGCAGCTGTAATCTCTAGTGGCTAAACGGCATTCAGAGGAAGTTTAACTACATTAGACTGTTCTGTTTCCATCTGCTCATGAAACACAAAAACACTGCTCCCAGAAACTGCAGATGTGAATGACTTGAGATGCCTGATTTGGCTAAGTGTCACCTGCATTATGAGAAAGTGATTCCCCTCTCCCCCAAGCATTTCCTGAAATCCATGAAAGCTGACTTAGAAAACCAGCTGAACCAAATCACTTCAAAGAAGGCACAGAGTCTTTCACAGAAATGTGCTCTATCAGCCCAGATCGACAGTGCTTACAGGAACTGCAAGCAGTAAATGAAGTCATCTTCAGAGTTTGGGAGATAAAAGGTCTCTTCCCCCTACTGTAATTCACATTCCTTTTAAAGATAAAGCCACTTTTAGGAGACACTGAGTGTGTGTGTTCTGTAGTGATCCTTACTGAATAATTTGTTTCATATTTACCAAATCAGGTCTTACTTAATTGACATTTCTTTGGAATGAATAGGTTTCCTCCTCAGACATGACTAAGGATCACTCAGTGGACTGGACATTATGAAAAAAGGGAAAAAGAACACACAGGAACTCAGGTGAGTTCCTGGTGTGTTGCTTCCCCAAAAAATTAAGCATTTCTGCTTAATTTTAAAGCTGGAATTAGTTGTCAAATGATGCATTTTCCCACAGCAGCTGCAAGGATATAAATTTGGGAAGTAGTGAATGTTGTGCTATGCAGCAGATAGGAGACTGGAGCAAAGTTACTGCCTGAATGTGAATGGCATTGTTAAATTGGAAAAAAAGTCTTTGTAGGGTGAAGGCTGCCAGACTGGTTTGCTGTCAGGAGAGATTGTTATCCCTTTCCCATACTCATTTTCCCAGCTCCACACTAGTATCTTTTAACCCTTCAGGCTCCAAACTAATGGCTCTTGCCCTGCTATACAGAAGAGTGCCCACATGACAGCATTTCTGGTAGAACAAGCACAATGTTGAAGGTTCTCTGCCACCTCTGAGAAAACCAACCAAAACTAGACCTAGATATAGAATAAGGGGCTTCCCACTGAGAGGTGTGGAATGAAAAGCATAAGGATTGAGTCAATTTCTTTTTCTTCCTGACAGAAACAAACCTGTTTTCTTTCTCTCTCCTATTGCTTTAGAGTAAGTTCAGCAGAAATAAGCCATATCCTCCCACATGAGGTGCCTAAGTGTCTTCATTTTGTCTTTATTATGAAATGCAAATATGGGATACCTCAGAAAAAAAAAGTATAACCAAAACTATAAATAAGGAAAGAAGGTCAGAATTGTATAAAATGTCTCTTAAGAGGGGACAAAGCTGACTTGTATTTTTGAATTATATTATCTTTATATGCCTTAATTTTTCTTCCCCTTCTTTTCCTTCTCTCTTTCTCTCCCCAGCATACAATGTAGTGGCCAGGTACATCCTCCTAGTAGGTATATGTGGGTTGCTCCAATGCAATAAGGAAATCCTAACCACAGGATGTGTGTTCACAATATCACTCTGACTTTCTCTAAGAGCGAATTAAGGCCTCTCTAAAATGTCTGTTTACCTGTGTACACTGGTTTAAGGGTAGTGTCACATCTAAAGGGCACAGCAGGAATCTCCTGAAGACTTCTGTAGTAATTTCAGCTGTCAAATCTCTCATCCTCAGTTTTACTAAAGCACCAGCAAGGTCAGATAGGGAATTTGCAGTACTCTGCAGCTAAAGCAATAGAAACATGCAAGAGATTTTACTCCCTACTACTAAAATAGTACATGAAGAGCGGTGATTCCAGTCCCTTCCCCTCACGCAGCTCTTTGACCATTTTTTGACTGTGGCTGAAAAGTGAAGCAAATCTGTTAAAGTAGTGTGGGAGAATCTGAGCCATGCTCAGGAACACAGCAAGGCCATACTTTTGAAGAGGCTGCCCCTTTTTGATGGGGAAAGGACAGCTGTAAAATAAAGCCATTTGCAGGAGCCTGTGTCCCCCAGAGCAGCTCTGAGCAGGGCCCTGCTGGACCCAGCCCTGCTCCTGGGACTCCACAGGACTGAGGCCTCCTCACCCTGTAGTCTGAAACACCTTTACTTCCCGAGTAGGTTAAATTACATACAATGCAACATCTGTAAAACTTGCTAACGAGCAGAGCCAATTAATAGACCTGTGGAAGTTCAGAAAGCTGTTATTTAAGCCGTGGAGAGCTACTGAGTGCTCAGGAGGAGGAGCTTGTTGAACGCCAAGCAGGGCCGAGGCTGTGGTCACACTAATTCTGTTATGATTGAAGTCATTTACAAGAAGTGAGGCTTCAGCTGCAGTCAGCACTGATGCTATTTTCAACAGACAAGAAAAAAAGTGTCCCCTAGGGCAACACGCTGCCCGTATCTAGCCATCAATACTCTTCACCCCGCTCGTACTGAGTCCTCTGTGGAACAGCACATCCACCTCCTGAACCTTCTCCTCAGATCCAGGGTCAGCCCTTTCTGTTGTGCTGGGCTGGCATCCAGGCCCTGACTCCTCTGCCACCCTCCATTCACTGTGCCAACAGCTGTGTGAGCAATGCATTTCTTCATTGATTCCAGTGATTTGAGACAAAGGCAGTGTAACAGGGACTTAATTTGCGCTCTACGTGGCCTTCTGTGCAAAGTGTAATCTAACAACTGTCCGTGCCATAAGTTTCCAGGAAGTTTTTCCAAATTGCCACAAAGTGCCATTCAAGACTTTTCATTGCCACTGCTTGTCATACTGCTACATAACTCAGATCCTGTCGCTGCATCTGTCATTTTCATCCACAGCTGTTTCCCAGTACAGCAGCCAAATTTACAACACCCTAGTCCAATTTGCTCCTTGTGTCACCATGGAATGATAGAAACACAGGCCAGCAGGAAGTGTAAAGAGAAGCCCAACTTCTCCCACAAAAACCACTGCTCAAATAGGGCAAAGCAGCAAAGGCCAAAGAGTCAGAATATAAACTCATGACTGACAGACAGCTGAGTTACCCACATGCCAGAAGTATTTCCCCTCTGTCTGCAGCTCAGTGACATGCTTTGGATATGGCTAATGAAGACAAGAATGATAGATGATTGTGCAAATCAGATGATAGCAAAACAATTTCTCTACAGTCTTCAGCTATGAGAAGAGCAGATACACTGTAAAGATGGAACATCAGCCAAATAGAATTAAGCAAATAAGCCCCATTTGCCCAGTTTCTTTCATGCTGTTCTTCATAATTTTAGCAAGGCAAAGTAGGATCACCTTTCTGTTGTCATTTTAATCTCAGTTACTCTTAATTATGGTTATTCTTTGCTCCCAACCATGTAAAAGAATGGTAAATCTGGTCATCACTCTTAGAGAGGATACTGTCCAAACATCTGTAGTAAAATTTTAGGTCCACTGAAATCAGTTTCCAGGGAATGACTGACTTTTCTGCAGATAGTTTTATTAAATAACAGTAAGTATATTTTCCTAATTAAATGCAAGAGCTGTGATTGCATCACAAAGATTTCTTACTGGATGAAGCCTCAACAAACTCACAGGTTGAGAGTGCTCTGTTTTGATGCTGTAAGTGTGTACACAAGGTTGTGTGCAATTTCCTACCCCCATTCCTTGCAGCTCTGCAGAGTATTTGCAAATCAACCCTGTGCCCTTCAAACTGAAACTGCCCTTCAAACCAAACTTTCCCCAAATTAACTTCCCTACAGCAGAAACTAATTATTACTGGAATTTGAGTCAGACTGAACTTTCAGGCTGAGATTTTAGGTATTCTCTCTGGGATTTGAACAACTTCTGGTTCCCAGACTGAGCACTGAAAACAGAAGCGAATGTAAAATATTGTCCCAAACATGTTACAACACAGACTCAACTGAGGCTTACAGATTTTGTAATTCTTAGTGTAATAATCTCATTTGGTTATTTCTTGACCTGCCTGTTCAGACAGTCTAGACAGATCTGGAGGTGGAGCTAGTATATCCTAGAGACTCATGAAACTGAAGGAGGAGAGGTATTACTTCTATTATCATTAGGATGAATTTGGGAGATATATCTTCTACAGAACAAGTAAGGTTAGTAGCTATTTTCTTAGCTCTGCACAGATAAAAAAGCAATAATTCTTTTCTGCTAGACTTTTCTGGCATCTATTCTACATACACAATCTGTTCAGAAATAGCTTTGACAAACATTTCAGAAATTATTTTGTTTTCTGTCACACATTCTCATTTGCTCTCACCAGGTAATTTGTTCACACCAGCTAATTTAAACAGCTGAATTAGATGAAAATCAGAAGTTTTCAGGAAGTTGCATA